ATCTGGCAGCATCGCCGCAGCAGCTGCCCTTCCAGCGGTCCACCAGGTTTAGGCTTTAACATGATATTTCGCGCTAATGGGGATCAGATGCCATGAACCATTCGAATCCAGGTTTAACTCCAAGTCATGGAACTTCCGCAACGAATCTCGATGGCCGACAGACACGCAGGTTATGCCTTCCTGAAAAGTCCTATTACACTTACAAAAAAAAAACAGTCTACGAAAGAAAAGAAGACAAAAGTAAGTTAATGCGGCATCAGCGCAATACAGTTCTTCAGTTCTTGGATGACCCCTCCCTTCACCTCACCGCTGTGCAAATTTATTTATACTTTAACCACAGCAAAAAACTCTATATAATATTGATAGCACCCTACGTGCAGCCTAAATGTCTGCCATTAGATCTCAACATGTCAAAGCAATTGGACGAACTGAACGCTTTACCGTAAATCTGTCGTTTCTTCCTCGACGCCTATTCTCAAAAATCACGTTAGCTGCCGACGAATATCCTAAATGTTATAGTTCTAATAATTGATTAAGGTACCTTTTTTTCATTTTCCAATGTATTTCTTTTCCTGTCATATCTACTATTTATCAGCTTTGATCTTCTTCCTGCTCCAGTTATCGCTTTTATTTAACTTTAAAAATACGTTACATAATAATAAGCGCAATCTGTGTGGTGATAATCGTACTATTTTCATACACTTAGCTAACTTAAATATTGCTTAATTTACGCTTACATCCTGTGCTGATTCTTGTCAACTATCCAGTGGGTCACAAGGCGAATTACAGAACCAATTCATTAGCATGTTACTGTGTCCGATTTACTGTCGCGTTGGGTACCATTCTTACAATAGCCAGAACCGGATTAGTCGCTTTCGATCATGTCGCAAAATTTGTTTACCATCATACAACGATGCTACGACCGGACTGACACATAAACGTCGCTGAATCTTGCACCCTGTCGTCAAAAAACACCATTAACCACTCGTTCATAGGGGATGTTGACCATTCATTATTTCATCACATTTTTTTC